AGGAGAGGGGGACAAGAACAGCGATGCCGCCGACACACCGGCCACCAACGAGGCCAAGCAGGAGGGCAAGGAGGACGTCAGAGACCACAAGGAGAGGTGAGGAGGGTGCTCTGAGCCCTGTCCCCACAGCTCCCAGGTTTTGGGGGGTTCTGACAAGAGCCTGCCTCTGTTCTTGGCCCCTCACAGCCTGTAGTGGCTTCCCTGGCGAGCTGATCCTTCCCCCTGGCTCCTGGTGCTGCCCCACGCCGGCTCGTCGCGTCCGGAGCTCCAGACAAGGAAATTTCCAAAAGAAAACAAAAAAAACTACAAAAAAAAAAAAAGAAAAGAGAGGAATGCAGAGCAGCTGGGTCCTGCCCCCGAGCGCTCTGTGCCTGCCCTGCTGTGGGCACACGCTTTGTGTTGGCGATTCCTCGGGGCTGAGCTGTTGATTTGAAATAAAAGCGAATCTTGCCTTTTTAAAAGTGCTTGTGGGACCTGGGTGAGCCCCTGGAACCCCTGAATGAGGGGGTTTGGTACCCTTTGGGGCTGCCAGAGCCTCTCTGGCAACACAGGGACCATGGGGAGAGATGGGACTGGGGCAGGGGAAGGGTTTGGAGAGGAGTTAAAATAGGAACTGCAGGATCACAGAATGCCCTGAGCTGGATGGGACACGAAAGGATCCACTCTCACTGCTGGCCTCAAAATCCCAGCATTGTCTAAACACTCCTTGACCTCTAGGATCATGAAATTATGGGGTATCCTGAGCAGGGAGGGACCCACAGGGCTTAGTGAGCTCTGGCCTTGCACAGGACACCCCAAAATGTTCCCAATGCCAACCTCCTAGAATGTTGTCCAAGCACTCATATTTTATGCTGGAATAGTGGAATATCCTGAGCTGGGAGAGACCTGTCAGGATAATTGAGTCCAGCTCTGGCCCTGCACAGGACACCCCAAAATGCTCCCTGTCTGAGTGTCCTAGAGCCTTGTCCAAGCACTCATATTTTATGCTGGGATAGTGGAATAGACACTGAGCAGGAAGGGACTCATCAGGATAATCAAGTCTGCTCTGGCCCTGCACAGGACACCCCAAAATTCTCCCAATCCCAGTGTCTTAGAGCATTGTCCAAGCACTCAGTTTTTATGCTGGAATAGTGGAATATCCTGAGCAGGAATAATCCGGATAATCGAGTCCTTTGTGCTCTGGGCCCTGCACAGGACACCCCAAAATGCTCCCAATATGAACCTCAAGAATATTGTCCGAGCACTCAGCTTCTCTGCTGGAATAGTGGAATATCCTGAGCGGGAATGGACCCACAGGGTTCATTGAGCTCTGGCCCTGCTCACGACACCCCAAAATGCTCCCAATCCCAATGTCCTAGAGCCTTGTCCAAACACTCATATTTTATGCTGGAATAGTGGAATATCCTGAGCAGGCATAATCAGGATAATCGAGTTTGGCTCTGGACACCCCAGAATGCCATCCTGTGCCTGAGGGCCATGCCAAACGCTCCGTGAGCTGTGTCAGGCTCAGGGCCGTGACCGTCCTTGGCTGCTCTGTCCCACACGCACAGCCCGGCCTGGAGAGGCCGAACTGGGCCAATTAGGCCGTGCCTGGCTCCCTGCACAGAGGACAGCACTGACCGTCCCCTGCACCTGCACCCGAGGGCAGC